GTGAAGACGGTAGCTTCCTGTTCCTATGTTATCATCATATTAGAAGGCTCACACTTCAACCCTGACACTACAGTCTTCCCCCGAATACAACGTACGGTCATTGTAGCTGAATTTGGTCTATCTGTCCGTCTAAATTCAGTTATAATGACCGTACGTTGTATTCGGGGGAAGACTGTAGCTTCCTCTGTCCTCCCCCGGCCATAGGTCTAAAGCAGCATCCCTTGGCTTTTGCTTCGTTGAGCAGACTGTCAATCTGGGCGGCTAATAAGCTCATTTTAGGCCTCGATTCGTAGTCCTCAACGACGCATTCTGCCGCCAAGCGCAACGTCTCAATCACCACGCGATTGAATGACAGCTCCTCCGCTTGATCCCGCAAGCAAGGGTCCAGGATCTCGGACAGCATCGTCGCTTCTGTACCCCCATCGGCATTTTCGAGGAGAGGTCTCGCCCAGTCCACAAGCATCAGCCAACCCACGCCAGAGGCTGCCGGCGACATCGCCTTTCTCCCCGTCAGCAGCTCCAGCAGGATCACGTCGAAGGCGTACACGTCTATCTTCTCCGACAGAATCCCTGACCGAATGTACTCGAGCGCCATGTACCCGATTGTTCCCGCCATGTGCGAGGTCTTTACCACGGTCTCGTGTTCTGTCCCGAACACCCTCTCTCCGATGGTTGCCAGACCGAAGTCCACTACAACGACCCGCAGCTTCTTCCCGGCGCCATCGCCAAGAAGCACGTTGCTGCTCTTGATGTCCCGGTGGATGATCGGGGGGTCGGCACCGTCGTGAAGGTAGGCCAACCCCTTGGCGATCTGCAAGGCGATGCACAATCGCTTCATCAGCGTCAGAGGCGGGAGAAGGGGTCTACCGGGCACAGCTGTCTCTCTTTTGTGAAGGTGAGCGTACAGACTGCCGCCCGGGAAGTAGGGGTAGACCAAGATGGAACGATTTCCCTCGTCGCAGTATCCAATCAATTGCACGAGGTTGGCGTGATGGAGTCTGCTCAGCGCGTTCACCTCGGTAATGAACATGCGGCGCTTGGCCGGAGTAAGTTCGCCCGACATCAGCTTGATTGCTACTTGCTGATTTGTGCCGATCGATCCCCAGCAAACGTCGCCGAAAGCCCCGCTGTCCCCAATCCGATAGCTTTGGCTGAAATCACTCGTGCAGTGAGAAAGCGCTGCCAGCGAGAATCGCTTGACCTGGATCGGCTGAGGCTCCTCGATCCCATGTTGAACACCTCCTGACCCCGATGGCGCGGAAGTGGTGGTTGTTGCTGTTATAGGTACTTCTATGCCATTATGGGGTGCAGTTCTGGACACTGGTAATTCTATTCTATTACGTGGTGCAGATCTGGACCGTCTGTTAAGCCCGGCTTTGCGGCGGGCTTTSCAAGCCAGGACACCCAGGGAGGCGAGAGTGCATATAAGCGCAAGAGAGGAGAGGGGCACCCCGACGATGAGCCCAAGATTGGAAGAGTGCTTTTTGGACCCTTGACYGGCCGTTYGCRATGGASRAGAAGGAGAAATGGCGGTCGGATTGTCTGAGTTGAATGGACTCCGAGGAGAAGGAGRSGTAGAGAACGCGTCCCCAGAAGAGGGAGGAGGAATGGGGGAGAACGGAGGAGGAATGGAGAAGAAGGCGTCCGTTAGAGACGGAGGAGATGGCGAAACGGAGGAGGACGCAGCGGAATCAGTTGCAGGACGAGAAATAA